TGAACGCTAGGATCTATGCAAATAAAATAGAATCTGATCTACCCAACAACTCTATAAGGTCAGTGGGTATGTCCATTTTATGAATGGCTCAGAGAGGTTAAGTAATTTGCCAAGATTGTACAATTAGCGAGTGTCAGAGCTGGGATCTGAATCCCAAACCCATGCTTATAACCACTGTGCTACACTGCCCCTCAGTTTCTCAAGGCCGGAAGGATAAGGCTTCAAAGCTAACTACCTGAGGACCCAAAACTGTCTTGGAGAGGGAAAGCAAAGAGAAGCGGGAGAGGTGAAGGAAGGTGGTTGGGGGCTACAACACATGGGCATGGAGGAAGGAAAGGCTGGGTGGGAGAGACTGGAGAGGGTGTGAGGGGTAAGCTGAGGTACCTGAAGGAGGGTGTGGTGAGCGGGAACATGCGTGGGCACGGAGCAGGACAGAAAGCTGGCCAACGGCGTCCAGGAGTGGGAGCTGGCTGCCGGGACATTGGCTCATGAGTGGTGCCCACCAGGGACAGGGTAGCTGAAGAGGGGGAGGGACCTGAGTCGGAGGAGGGTCTTTGTGAGGCACGCAGCAGTGAGGAATGCCCCGACATGAATACTAAGGGCAAGAAGAAGAGAAAGGGCTAGAGGGGGCTGGGTGATGTTTAGCTGCTGGGGTGATTAATGGGGGTGAACGGAGGGTGAAACTCAAACCCTTCGAACAGAGATGGTGGGGAATGGTTGTCCAAGAACAACAGTGCACTGTTTCGTGGAGAAAGCCAATGTCCAGAGGACGGGTGGGCGGGGGGGAGGACGCCAGGCGCAGTTGCTCCTTCCTTTTTTTTCCCAAGGTCTCTTTATTTACCATCAAACAGTAAATTAAAATATGCCAACCAGTCCCAGGAGACCTTCTGGATGGGCTTCCTACCTGCCTCCTGGTTTGGGGGAGACTAAGGGATGCTAGGGTGGCTCAGGGGAAGATCAGGGGAGTATGAGGCTGGAGGTCGAGATGATTCTGTGGACCATCACACTAGTGGAACCTAAAAGGGTGACATGCTGGCCAGGCCCCTGGCTTCCCCCTGGACAGAGAGGCACTGAGTGACGACGAAGGACTGGGTTCCCAAATGTCCTGTGGGGAGTGGTAGTAGTGTACTTAGGGTAGTCTTCCAGGTAGCCCTGACCTCGGGAGGAAGAGCCCTTTTTTGTGAGAGAGCAGAGAATTGGAGCAACTAAAAGAGGGGCTTCCGGTGGTCCTAGGTTCAGTGTTAAGCCAGATTTGAAGAACAGAGATAAAACTTGTCTTCTTGTCTGGGCGCAGCTGTTGGGAGCTGCCTCTCCTGCCCTCAGCCTTTCCACCTGCATTTCCAGAAGACAGGAGAGGAGGAAGGGGGTGAAGGAACTTTTCCAGTGCTGGGAAGTAAGCTGAAAGCAGGGATTTAGATGAAAATAATCTCATGGGGTAGGATCAGCTTTCTCCCTCCCATTACTGATGTGGAACAACTGGCAGATCTTACTTTCCCACCCAGAACAGTCCCAGGGCCTGGTGTATCTTCCTGTGTCTCCCTACAGGGAGGCCAAGTAGGGGAAAGGAAAAGTGCCAGGTGTGTATTGAGGGGTCCCCAGAGGGGTGAGCAAGGCCAGTATGTCCTAGGGCAGGGGAGCAG